GATAAAATACCGGAAATTAGTTTGAATGAATCAGTTGTTAACCTTGTGATATTTCTATACGAATTTCTGTAGAGCGCCTACCGGGTGTGTGGTTTGTACTTGAACTGAACGCTTAAATTAAATAAGACACCGATTTGTTTCGTAAAATTTTTTCTCTACCTGTACTCAACGTGTTTTGCGCAGTCTAAACAGATGATCGAAAAGATTTGCGCCGCTTATATTAAATGTACTATGCTCATAAATGGAGAGGCAGCCCTTAATAAAAATATTATGTCCTGGTTATATAAAATAAAACTAAAAAGTTCAAAATAAGATAATATAAAAAAATATTTTTGATGTGTATACATCTTTGGTTTCGGTAGGGGTAAAATTTGTGAAGCTGTAACGCATTCCCAGCAAAAAATTTCGAAGGGCTTAGCATGTGTGTTTCAGCATAAAATTTTTATTTTCATTAGAAGCACCCTGTGTTTGCTTACCAAATGGTTGCATACATTTAGGAATATGCATAGTAAGAGGAAATGCGCTACAATTGATTATTTATACTCCGCACATGCATACGGCTTTGTACCTATGGACGTACATAAATATGTATGGACTCATTTGTTGCAACTAAAAAGCAAGGCGAAAATTAAAAAAAATACTGAAATCATTTTAACCGTTGATAACTGATGAACATACATGAATATATGTATGTATAATATGCATATGTATAGATGATATAATAGCTCTGATCCAATACTTTTCGTGTAAAATCCCGGAAGAAGGTCAAACAGCAAAATCACTCTCTGAAGTGAGAGTAAAAAGTGAGTAACAGCAAAACGTATGGAACAAAAAAGCATCGGATAACATCCTGCAACATGAACTGCATTTACATGAACCACAGATTATATTCCGAAAAGAAAAACTAAAATTAGGAATATATACAAATATAAATGCTCAAACTATAAGCTCAAAAACAATAACTGATGCGGTGTTTCCATGATATTTTAACGCCCTTGAGTAACAAGTATACACAAGTATATTTTATCAATCATACCGATGATTTCATGTATTAAAAGAATTAAAAATGAAAATGAATAAAAAAAAATTAAATCAGCAAAATGAATAAAATTAAGTGAAATTAATGTTTAATTTCTAACCTAACCTAAAGTAAACAAATATTGACGCTAGTAAGGAAAATAGGTTTGTAAAGGTGTTTTTAATAAAATATTCAGTTAAAATATATTTAAATGGCATAATGGGCTGTTTTTGCTTACGCGTAAAAGCACATTTAGCGCATTTAACTCTAAATGTACATTTATCCATACAAAATTCGTCACCTAAATGCAACTAAATGCAACTCCATTTTTGCATTAAGAATCTAAATGCTAAAAGCAACCCTGTGATCTTCCAAAATTTCCACGATTCGAACATGGTTTAATGAGAAAAAGTGGCAACATTGCATTTTCGAGTATACAGTGGCTAGCTGCGTTTCAGTGATCGCCGATCGAGATTTCAATTATTATTTTACATTATTTGGATAAAGAAAAGTTAAGAAAATTCAATATCGATGTGATGCTGATAGAAATCTGGATCAATTTGTGATCAATAATGTTTGTTTTGTTTCCTAATTAAGTGAAGAAATTTTAGTTGACAGCACCGACAAATGAATAAAACAAAAACAAATGGTCGGTCATGGTTAAAACAATTCAAATTTTTGTATTGAAGTTTTGGTTTAAAATATATTTTTTCCTTTTCAGTAGGGTTTTTGCACATTATCTTTTCCGTGAGAATTTATCGTAATAGATACGGATCTGAATAAGCGACTGGAACACGGCTGTTTGTCAAAAGCATACGATTTCGAACTCGCGTAAATGTACATTTGCTAAATGCTGTAGCATGAACGCTCTTCGAAAACATATGTTCGAAAGTGCTAAATGTTGCATTTTAAATGCAGCAAAAACGCTGCATAATATGTGTTGCAGAAAAAAGTGACCACGGTGGCACAGAGAGGAAGTTTAACTTTTCCTCGAGTTGTGTGAATAATAAGCACAACCAATTTGACAGCTATCGAGCTTTGATTGAGATTATATTTATATGTAAACGTACTTTTATGCTTTGCCGTTCGCATATGTTTACACATCAAATTTCATGAGTACCTAGTACTCACGCCTTTTTTTTTAAAACAAGCTTTTATTTAACATGTGCACGAAAAGGAATAAAATAAAGTAGTGTTACAAAAGATTTTTTAGCAAGAAAATTTTGTTAAAACTGCACTAAAATTAATAAAATAAAATATGTTAAGCTTTCGTTAAAGTTACTAAAGGCCAAATAGTGAAAGGCGTTACTCAAACTCTAATGAAAATTGTTGAAATAGTAAGCTCAAATATTAGTCTGGCAACATTGTAACTTGTATATTTGTAGCCTTAAGAATTTTGATGTACATACAATTGAAGTTAGTCCTTATTAAACCATCAAGCGAGTAACACTGTGATTCATTTATACGGAACTTTGCAACAATGGTTATGGGCCCAGCGCCCTGGTGAAATAATTTGTGAGTAATAAAACCATCCGTGCGAGAAGCTATTTAAAGACAAGAACGCTACCAAATTAAAAAACAAAAGCTCGTTTGTGTTGTACGTAACGTGCGCGAAAAACATTAAGCAAAAAAAAAAAATAAAATAAAAAAGGGGGTGTGCACCAGCAAATTGAAAAACTTGGGGAGGACAATTATGACGCGTGGTCTGGGTCCGTTCGAAGTGTCCTCATAACGACAGATTTATGGAATATCGTATGCGGAACATATGTGAAGGCAGAGGGAGCCACCCCTGAAGAAGTGAAAAAGTGGGAAACGGCTGACCACAAAGCGTTGGCATGTTTAATTCTAAACATTAAACCGACGCAGTTGATGCACATAAAGACGTGCACAACCGCTGCAGAGGCATGGCAAAAGTTGCGCGACATTCATTTGCCAGTTGGTCCGGTGAAAAAAAATTCAGCAGTATCAAAAACTGTTACGTTTAAACATACAGCATGGCGAAAATGTAGTTCGGTATGTGAGTGGGTTTGTCGCAACGGTCGACAAATTTGCCGAATTAGAAATTCAAATAAACGACTAGCTAAAAGTAGTTATGTTGCTTTCCAGCCTTCCCAATTCGTGGGAAAACTTCGTTTCCGCGATTGAGACGCGCGACAGGCTGCCCACGTTCGAAGTAGTCAAAGCAATAATGTTAGAAGAAGGAGCACGTAGACAAGAAAAAGATGATCGAGAATGCAGGTAAGCTGTTTACACACACACAAATAAATTCGCAGCACAAAAGCAACACGATTGTCGCAGCATAAACGACGGACAGAGCGATTCCAAAGTAAAACCGAAGAAGGAGCAAGACAAACAGCGTTTTAAAGGGAAATATTTTAATTGCCAAAAAGCAGGTCATCGCGCAAGTGAGTGTGGAAACAAGAAAGAGGGTGTAAAGACAGAAATGCGAAGTGAAACAGAATAATCTTCAAATCATCTGATGTACGGAGGCAGCGATACTAAACAGAAAAAGGTAAAATGTTGAGTTGATATTGGCGATACCTCACACATATGTTGTGACAAAACTTTGTTTACATCTTTCACTGAGAAAGATAGGCGTGTCATGTTAGCTGTCGAGACGTTTATTGAATCGCACGGTATAGGTTCAGTAGTGCTAAAAAGAGAAAACAGTAAAATTTTGTTACACGATGTTTTGTTTGTCCCATCTTTGCTTATGAATTTTCTATCAGTGAGCAAAGCAGCACAGTATGGGAATACGACAATATTCAAAAACAACGTTGCAATAGTAAAAAATAAACAAGAAGAAGTAGTGCTGCAGGCAGAGGGACTGAACAATTTGTATTTGTACTATGATAAAAAGCAAACTAGTGGTGTTTATTTATTAAATTATTGCTCATTAGCAGAAAAGTGGCATAATCGCTAGGCAACCTAAATATGCAAAATTCAAAGCAATTAAATGACAGTGATCTTGTGCGCGGTATGAATGTGCAGAATATGCCAACGAAAATAAACTGCGATACATGCAGTCAGGCAAAAATATGTCCTTTGCCTTTCCTGCAAAGAAATGTGCGAACCGCGAATGGAGTGCTAGAGCTAGTGCATTCAGATGTGTGTGGCCCCATGAACATAAAATCGTTAGGCGGCAATAGATACGATTTTTCACGCAAAATTTTTGTTTATTTTATGCAAAATAAAAGTGAAGTTCTAGAAAAATTAAAATCATTTAAAGCTTATGTCGAGTGCCAAACGAGCCGCAAAATTAAATCTTTGCGCAGTGATAACGGCAAAGAATATGTAAACAATGAATTTAATGACTTTTTAGTAAAATGCGGTATTAAAAGACAATTAACCGTGCCGTATACCCCTCAGCAAAACGGTGTTGCTGAGCGGGCTAACCGCACTATTGCAGAAATGGCAAAAAGTTTGCTTATACATGCAAAGCTAGAAGAGTTTTTGTGGGCGGAGGCGGTTCAAACCGCCGTGTACTTGCGTAACCGGTGCCCAACGCAGGCCTCGATGGGAAGACTCCATTTGAGGTGTGGAAGGGACGAAAACCTTCAGTTAAACATTTGCGAATCTTTGGCTCACGAGCCTTTGCGCTAGAAAAGACAGTTAAAAGCAAATTTATGGCAAAAGGTAAGGAGTTCATATTTGTGGGTTACTCCTGTACAGCGAAGGCGTATCGATTATATGATCGCCAAAAACGCAGAATGATCGAGCGGCGTGACGTTAGGTTTACAGAAGGTGAATTTGGTGCGCGTGTTTCTACTGAGCATGAGTCTTCAGAACGAAACGACGACTTTACAACAAACATCATTCGCCTTGAGTCTTATGAAGCTCAAGAGACAGAGCGCTAGCCATCCAATGATGCTGAGGTTGAACAACGTGCAAGCTACGACTCCGGCGATGAAGAGGACGAGTTTGCCACCGCCAGCAGTTCTGAAGAAGAGGACAATGGCAAGAAGATCAACGTGAAGCAGGTATGTCGCATTCCGAACATGCAAATGTAACGCGGGGTGGGCCAGGTAGGCCAAAACAACTCCGCACAGGTCAACCAGGTAGACCTAAAAAGCAATATAATTTAAATTACATCGAAGATTTGGAAACACCACAAACTGCAGCAGAGGCATTGAGCGGCCAACACGCGCAAGAGTGGCAAAAATCAATGCAAACCGAGTATGACGCACTTATTGCAAATGGTACGTGGTCATTGGTTGAGTTACCTGAAGGGCATAAAGCCATTGGTTCCAAATGGGAGTTTCGCATCAAGCGGAATGTCAACGGCGATATCGAGCGATTTAAATCTAGACTAGTTGCCAAGGGTTGTGGGCAGCAGTTAGGAGTCAATTACTGGGAAACGTTTTCCCCAGTAATTTGCTATGAGACTATACGAATGCTATTTGCTATTGCTTCATCTATTATTTTTTTATTGCCCAAATAATAGACATAAGAACGATTATAAGAAATGTAAACATAACAAAACTGTCAAAGCTAAACTTCAAAATGGGGGGGATTGCCAGATGAATGTACGTAACCAATAGTTATTCAAGACACGAACCATCATATCGGTATAGACACGAATCATCACTCACCTCTCATCACCCCTCAGTGGAAATTAATAGAGCCAAAAGGTGCCGTCACATTCCTTCCGGCAAATCCCCAGCCACGTTGTTGCGTAGAATAAAGAAGTTGTGAGCATCAAATCCGGACTATTCATTTAACAGCAATTGAGTCACCATAAGCCGGTAATACAAAATCATTACATGTAAGTCAACCACTTTCTTGCCACCATCCATTGGAAACGAGCTATCCATCAACAGTAAATAAAGATTCCTGTTTGGACCGACAAACCAAAGTCAAGCAAATCATGCTGCAGAAAAACCGCTACATATGCATCAAGTTGACATCTCCAACGCATACCTAAAGAGCAAGCTTCATGAAGACGAAAGGCAATATACGGGCTAAAACAATACGGCCGCGTATGGAACAACACACTCGACGAAGTTTTGAAAGACATCGGCTTTAACAGGTGCAAGAACGAGCCCTGCTTATACGTTAGTCAGCATCAGCAGCAGTATAGTTATATCGCGGTTTACGTTGGCGACTTAATCATCATGAGTCCTAGTGAAACCTATATAGCAAGAATCAAGAAGAAGATCGCTTCGAAATTCCAAATGCAAGATGGCGGTGCTATACGATACTTCCTTAGTTTGGAAGTGCAGCATAAAATCCAGTACAGCATATTTTGCTTAGCTGCCCATCCATCTTTGCCCGAAAAACTTGTGCGCTTAACCGAAAAAAGCACTTAAGCGAACTTTCTTTACTACTTCAATGAGGAAGGTATCCGAATCGCTATGAAACCAAATAATGGAAGAGTACTTACCACGTAGAAATTACTGCCGGCGAAATTTGATGATGATATGATGATATCTTATAATCTAAATAACTATATAAAATGTTAACCGATTTCGTTATTCTACTAGATGAGACAAATAAATAAAAGCTTGTAAAATTAGGGTAAGTATACAGTCCAGTGCCAGTGCAGGTAAACGTAATACTTTCTTTGATAATTGATAATAGTTGCAAGTTTTTAAGGCAGGTATCGCTAATGTGCAGGTATGTTAAATGCATCTATCGGAGCAGTTTTCTTATAAATGTTAAAAATAATGCCGCTGATGCCCATTTCGGGGTAGGTATCTTAAATGTGCACTTAAACATAAAGGCAGCAAAGCAAAATATACTGTACCAATCCTTAGTCGGTTCTCTTATGTACCTAGCAGTGCTAAGTCGGCCTTATATTTTACACGCTGTGAGCACGCTGTCTCAGCGCAATACTAATCCGCATGCTGAGCATGAAACCGCAGCAAAACACGTTTTTAGATATCTATCTGGTACGGTAGATTTGAGCATCGTATATTGAAAATCTGATGAGCCCGTGAAGGGATTTGCCGACGCAGATTAGGCCAACGACCCCAACGACAGGCAGTCATATTCTGGTTACGCATTTTATTTGGGAAGCATCGCTTTCTCGTGGGCTTCCACAAAACAGAGCGTAACAGCATTGAGTAGCACAGCTGCCAAAGAGGCAGTCTATTTAAGCAGATTACTGGCTGAGATTGGGTGGTCCAGTACAAACCCCATGATACTATATGGCGACAACATTAGTGCGCAACATATTGCACGGAACCTCATCCATCATAAGCGTACTAAACGTATTGATATAAAATATCATTTTATACAAGAAAAAGTAAAGTCAAATGAAATTAAATTAGAACATGTTTCGACTGATAAAAATGTTGTCGACGTTTTAACTAAAAGCCTTAGTAAACAAAAACATTGTAACTTTGTTAAATTACTTGGATTAAAATAATTTTTGTAAAAGAAAATATATCAGCTTAAGAAAAAGTGTTGAAATAGTAAGCTAAAATATTAGTCTGGCAACATTTTAACTTGTAGATTTGTAGCCTTAAGAATTTTGATGTACATACAATTCACGATTGAGAGAATACAAAGGTTGCGCCGATCTCGGACCGCTATTCTTCTCTTAACGAATTTGACAGAATCGTTGTTTGCATGACGTCACACTGGTGCAACTTGTTTACGTGTTCCTTGCAACATTTTTTCTTCTTCTTCCATTCTTGCTCACGTTTTGGCATTTCTCTCTCGTAATTGCACCAGTGTGACGTCACACAAAAGTTATTCTCAAAAATCCTCTCTGATCGGCGCAATCTTGTATTCTATCATTCTTGCATACAATTGAAGTTAGTCCTTATTAAACCAGCAAGCGAGTAACAGCGTGTTTCATTTATACGGAACTTTGAAACAAAAATTACTCACAATTTGTACCGAAAAGCTTGTCGGCGAATGCAGTGTGCATGCATAAATGGTTAGGTATATGTGTGTATGCAGATATGTTTGACCTTTTTACAGGATTTAACACGAAAAGTGTTGGCTATTATATCAGCCATACATATGTACATAGATATACATTTATATGAACATGTATGTTCATCAGTTATCAACGCACCCAGTTAAAATGATTTCAGTATTTTTTAAATTTTCGCCTTGCTTTTTATCGATATGCGTAAAACATATGTATACATACATATGCGTAAAACCATGCTACGAATATCAAAACCACTTGCAAAAAATTAGTTCATACATATCGTCACCTGAAATGTAAAAAGACGTAACAACGTCGTAACTGAAATGGAAAAAGTCGTGACTAATATATATTCTTTTTTTCATAAAATGGTGTGGGAGTTGTATTTCGATGAAATCCATCATATCAATCAAAAACTGAGTTTTTATTTTTTATTAGTTGCGACTTTTTGTATTTCAGCGACGATGTTTGTTACGTCTTTTTGACGATATGTATGTACATACAATCTTATATATGCACATATGTATACATATAGGTACAAACCCAGCCAGAAAAAAATCCGAAAACCAATCCGAAAAACGACAAAAAAGTGGATGAAGTGCGGATTTTTGTCCGTTTACTGATTCCATTTTCGGATACTTTGACGATCCGTTTCCCACTAAAGTGTGCGGCAGAAATGTATTTACAGACAACTACCAAAAATTGTTTGTGAAAATGATACGTTTTCGGCTGTTTTTTATGAAATTAGTCTGATTGAATTTTTCGTTTAATACGCTTTCCTTCTGCACTTCACAGATACTTTTTCATGGTTCAAAAGAAATAAAAAAAGGCGTGAGTACTAGGTACTCATGAAATTTGATGTGTATACATATGCGAACGGCAAAGCATAAAAGTACGTTTACATACAAATATAATCTCAATCAATGCTCGTTAGCTGTCAAATTGGTTGTGCTTGTTATTCACACAACTCGAGGAAAAGTTAAACTTCTTCTCTGTTCCACCGTGGTCACTTTTTTTTGCCAACACATTTTAGGCCATTTAAATATATTTTAACTGAATATTTTATTAAAAATACCTTTACAAACTAGCGTCAATTTTTGTTTACTTTAACATCTGACAATAACAGATTAGGGAGTCAAGCTCGAAAATTAGGATAATATTTTTATATATAAAGGCGATTCAGTTACACACATACAAATGTGGGTTAGGTTAGAAATTAAACATTAATTTCACTTAATTTTATTCATTTTGCTGATTTAATTTTTTATTCATTTTCATTTTTAATTCTTTTAATACATGACATTATCGGTATGATTGATAAAATATACTTGTATATACTTGTGACTCAAGGGCGTTAAAATTTCTTGGAAACACCGCATATAGGTAGATTTTCAAGTTTTATGCGGCAAAAAATATTTTATTGCCTCTATCTACTCAAAATTGTTTATCAAATGTAAAATTGAAATAATTTGTATCACAGATAGGTTATACTAATCAAATATATATATTAGCCAATAATTTACAATTTAAATATATTGACTACCTTTATTTATAAAATGTGTGTTCACTATCATTGGTTAATTAGTTTTCGCTTTCAGAATCTTCGCTGGCCTCAAACTATTCCTTTGTCACATCTTTGACAACGGATTTAGAGGGTAACAGCAGCTTTATTGTGTCTGGGGAAAACGATTTGATATTTTTTCTTTTTTTGGTCATGAACCGAAATACTGCTTAAAAAAGAGTCCGAGCTCATCAACAGCCGGTTATATATGTCACGGTTATGGGCTGTTTTTGCTTACGCGTAAAAGCACATTTAGCTCATTTAGCTCTAAATTCTACTCTAAATGTACATTTATCCATACAGAAATTCGTCACCTAAATGGAACTAAATGCAACTCCATTATTGCATTAAGAATCTAAATGCTAAAAGCAACCCTGTGATCTTCCAAAATTTCCACGATTCGAACATGGTTTAATGAGAAAAAGTGGCAATATTGCTTTTTCGCGTATACAGTGGCTAGCTGCGTTTCAGTGATCGCCGATCGAGTTTTCATTTATTATTTTACATTATTTGGATAAAGAAAAGTTACGCCAATTCAACAGCGATGTGATGCTGATAGAAATCTGGATCAATTTGTGATCAAATCTGTTTGTTTTGTTTCCTAATTAAGTGAGGAAATTTTAATTGAAAGCACCGACAAATGAATATATACACAAACAAATGATCGGTTATGGTTAAAACAATTCAAGTTTTTGTATTGAATTTTTGGTTTAAAATGTATTTTTTCCTTTTCAGTAGGGTTTTTTGCACATTATCTTCTGCGTGAGAATTGATCGTAATAGATACGGATCTGAATAAGCGACTGGAACACGGCTGTTTGTCAAAAGCATACGATTTCGAACTCCCGTAAATGTACATTTGCTAAATGCGATAGCATGAACGCTCTTCGAAAACATATGTTCGAAAGTGCTAAATGTTGCATTTTAAACGCAGCAAAAACGCTGCATTACATACTTCACGAGAAAACTTACGGGAATAATTTTCTCGGTAGTGTTTTGTTGTGGGCCTCTTGAGCCTCCCCGATAATTGTCCTATTGTTAATAAGGAATTAGTATCTTGTGCATTGTGGGTGTCATAGGATGCCATGCCGTCGTCGATTCGCCACTTCTCGCTCGCTATGTTTGAGTTCCGGTCGCTTAACGAAAAATGTTGCATGTGAAAGCAACAACAAAGTTAGCTAGCACGGATAGACGATAGCAAGTTTGGTTGTACCTCATTGAGTTCGTTCGTTTGGCCACTTGCTAACTGATGGCGAATCGATAACGGCTAATAATCAATTGTAGCGCATTTTCTCTTACTATGCATATGCCTAAATGTATGCAACCATTTGGCAAGCGAACACAGGGTGCTTCTAATGAAAATAAAAATTTTAAGCTGGAATACACATGCTAAGCCCTTCGAAATTTTGTGCTGGGATATGCGTTACAGCTTCGCAAATTTTACCCCTACCGAAACCAAAGATGTATACACATCAATAAAATTAGGAATTCGGCACCTTCTGGAAGCTAACAAATAGCGGCACACTCCTCTGCACGCTCAGCCACTGCCGACTACGCATGCATGCTTTCAAATGTTTAGCTTGAGCAAATAAAATACAATTATTGCTTTCAAATGACATAATCTTTTTCGATCGATTCAAACGTTTTCCGGATACAAAAATTGATGATAACTGTAGGAGTTTTTCTATGCATTTTCGGATCCGGAAATATAACTAAACTGCACTGTCGCCAAAATTTACGTTTCTTTGCTGGCTGGGAAGCCGTATACATACATGCTCTGAGTTTGCATAATCGGAAGTATTAATCAATTGTACCGCATTTCCTCTTACTCTGCATATGCCTAAATATATGCAACCTTTTGCAATAGCAACTAAATACAAGGTACCTCTAATGAAAATAAAAATTTTCTATTGCAATAAACATGCTAAGCCCTTCGAAATTGCCTTCTGGGCTATGCGTTACAGCTTCGCAAATTTTATCCCTACCGAAATCAAAGATGTATCCACATCAAAACAAAAAATTAAACCTTAGTAGATTTCTGCAG